GCTTAATCCACGGTTTGTTCCCCCCGCCCCCGCCCCGCCGCCGCGGCGCGGCGTTTACGCGGTCCACAGGAACCGCGGCATTGTTTTCCACGGTTACACGTTTCTCACTCACGGGGAGAAATTTCACCGAGGCCGGGAGGAACGGCGAGAGTGTGACGCCGTATTAGATTAACAAAGCGGCAAAGTTGGCGATGTATTTGCCGACGACGACGACGACGACGACGACGACGACGCGGCGTCGAAACGTCGTCATTAGCGACGTTCGCTAGCGCGCAGCGTATCATTCCGTCCGTTGCTTTGTGCAATCCCGATGGATTTTTCCGCTGCTGCGAGAGAGCGAGCGAGACAGAATAAGAGTGAGACACGGAGGGAGGGAGGCCGGTTTTTTCCTTTCTGGGCGAGCGACGGAAATCGGGGACGGAAATCGGCGCGCGGCGCGCAACGTGCCACATTTTACGCTCCTTGGAGCCGACACGCGGTCTTAACGAAGTTTTTGTCGCGGCCGTGTGCCTTTTCATGCGCGGGCGCGACGCGGCATTGCCGGATCGTTGGCTCGTCGATCTCGTCGTCGGAGGCGAACCTTCGAAATCGCCGTGCAAAATCGATCGGTTCTACGCGTAGGACGTTTCTTGCGCGGCCGAGCGACGCGTGTGCGTCACCTGCATTCTCGCGGGCCTGCATTCGTCCGGGTTCGAGTGCGCTCGCTTTTCCACGATAACGATTGCCGAGTAGCGGCGGCCAAGTCGATCGCGCTCCGAGAGAAGAGAGAGAGAGAGAGCGAGCCTCTAATTAATTATCGCCATCCAAGACGGAGGACGGGCCGATTCACGGACGCGATACCGACGATCGAGCGAGCGTTAATTGAAACGGACGATTCGAAATTCTCAAGTGATTATTGCCGGTCGTTTCTAGCGAAATTTCATTTCGCGAGGACGAATTTTTTGCAATTTTCGGTGAAAATGCGCGAAGAGGAGAGCAAGAAATTTCCCTGCTTACACACACGTGACGACACACGGCCCGCGTCTCTGTGACCAAGAGAGAAGGACGAGGAGGCGCGGAAGGGTGACCGGGCGAGGAGAAAGGGGACAAGGAGAGACAGAGAGAGACAGAGAGAGAGAGAGAGAGAGAGAGGGAGAGAGGGGGGCGGGCGGGAGGAGAGGAGAGGGATCTTCGTTATTATTTCAGCGAAACGAAGCGTGTACCCCGTATACGCTCGAGTTGGCTCGTGTGCGGAGTTGTTAACTTCTTCATGCCGGCCATGTCCAATTTGTTGCATGCAGCGCGTCTCCATTCGCTTTTCACAGTAAATATCATCGCACGGCGAGAGGACGCACGGCATGTCGTTACGTAAAATTTCCACGCGACGCGCGGCTTTCGGGAAACGCCCGTCGGAATTATCTCGTCGTGGAGGATGCTATTTACCTGGCCGGCCGGCCGCGAGCCGTGACGTCCCGATCTCCTGCGATTTTCGATTTCTTGCGAGAAAGCAGTCAAGAGACAGAGAGAGAGAGAGAGAGAGAGAGAGAGACAGGTATATACACCGGAGACGCGTGTGTGCTTTCATACTCTCGCGCAATCGCTTCTCGGAAAAATCTCCCGACGCCGATCTCGCGGCGAGAGCCATAAGCGAGAGCCCGAATTCGCCGTAAATCGGTCCGCTGTCGCAGAGCGGTGAGACGCGGAGGTGAGAATTGTCACACATCCTCGGCGGCGAGCCGGGGACTTTGGAGCCGTTTCTGACTTCGGACCGGCCGATTCGCGTTCGGCTGTGTCCTTAATGGGGATTGCAGGACAGTAGATGGACACTGCACTCGCGCGCTACCGAGTAACGTTATCCCCGGGATACCTGGCTGGTTCTGTCGTCACGGCGCGTGACGGACGCCGGTGTGTGTCCATTCTGTAAAGACCGTGCGCTACGCCGGCAAGTACGCTATTTGTTTGAGGCCTCGGCTCGAAAACTCGAGCCAGCCGAGCCGAGCACAGAGCGGCCGGCGGATTTCTCTTTAACGTAAGAAATCGATGGCCGTGCCTAAAACATAGCTCGGCCTGACGTAACGCCGAAGAATGGCGTCGCGAATCACCGTGACGCGATCCTCTCCCCTCCCCCCCCGCCCGCGACGGAATTAGGCGAATTAGAGAGAACGGGGGGGAGGACAGGGAATCTCATTGTTAAACACTCGATCCGTGGCGACCGTCCTCCTCTGCCGATGCTTTCACGCCGGAAAGAGAGAGAGAGAGAGACAGAGAGAGAGAGAGAGAGAGAGAGAGAGAGAGAGAGAGAGAGAGAGAGAGGAGGAGGAGAGAGAAAGCGAGAGTTTTCATTTTGTACGCTCGCGTTATGTGTATTTATCGCTGCTGCGTGCTCGTGCATATTTATATTTATCAAAATCTTTAATGATTCAACGCGCGCGCGCACAATCCCGATCGGCGATTTCAATTCCTGCTTCGCTCTTCTCGAAATTTATTCGAATTGCGTACTCAAATGTAAATATGTTCCGGACGGAATAAAGGTTGTTATCATTAAACTTAATCGCTCTCGCTCCAATCAGGATCGTGTGAATCGAGCACACTGCGGCGTTACTATTTATAATTCCGATTGCCGATCGATCGGTTTAAAAAAATGCGTGAGAAGCGAGAGGGACGTCTCGCGCAGCTCTTTTGCGTCACGGAGAAGAGCGTCGCGGCCGTTTTTCTTTCTTTTATCATTTCTCTCTCTCTCTCTCTCTCCTCCCTCCCTCCCTCCCTCCCTCCCTCTCTCCCTCCCTCTCTCTCTCTCTCTCTCTCTCTGTCTGTCTCTCTGTATAGTGTCGCGTAATAAACGTCTAACGTAAACCCGTTTTCTAAGCCCGACTCGCGCCCGTGAACGCGTGACTTTCAGACACACGAGAGGCTTAAGTCGAGAACGCGGCTCGCAACTGCATCGCGCGAATGCGATCGGATCGGGTCGGTTACTGTCCGCCCGAAATGTTCTCTTTTTGCGAACGCAGCCCGTTACGACCCTTTAGATTAGAAAAGCCGGTTCCTCCCGTAAGTCCGTTACGATCGCGTTACTTTCAAGAGGGACGGCCGCTAAAGAGCGGAAAATCGTCTGTGTCTCTCGCACTCGTCGCTGAGCACGATCTGTTTTTGAATCGATACGAGAAATTATTCCGCGGTTGTGCCGTTCGTTTCGAGAATGGTGCGATACAAATCTTGACTTTAATATTCATTCACGGTTATACAACGTTATCGCAAACGATCCGTTACATGAATCGCGGCGTGTCACACGCACGCGCACGCACACACCTGCAGGCGCGGGCGCATGTAACGCGCGGTGGCGAAAGTGCAGATCTAAATCTTTGGAGACGTGGAAGAAAAAAAGATTGAGAAGCGAAAGAAAAGGAGGAACCGCGCTCTTCCTCTTTTTCTCCGTCTACCCGACACGCGCTGCTTGCTGTATTTCGACGGCGGATCTGCTTCACAGTCGTCGCACAGTGTGCTGTGAGATACATTAATCGCGTTAATTACGCGCCCCGCTTATTAGCGCGAGGTCTCACCGGGCGGCAGCAATCTTCTTCGACAAATTTTCGTAACTCGCTTTCACGATCGCCGGTAATCATCTCAGCATCTCGTCCGATCGTCATCTCGACGGGACGCGCATAGCCCATATAATGTTGCAATATTTCTGCGGTAAGAAACTCAAATATTATAATATCATTAGGAATTTATAAAAGCCGCCGAGAGGATAACTGGCAGCGAATAATTTCTTTATAAATTCGACGTTACATTTCTTGTATCTATCTCTCTCTCTCTCTCTCTCTCTCTCTCTCTCTCTCTCTACTTTTTTCTCCGCACGTATGTATGAGTGTAATCTGACTAATAGAACGGGAATAGCGCGGACACGATTGTTCCGTTACAGTACTGTTATCGAGTGCACTCCAGGAAATTTTTCTCTAAAACCTCGAACGTTCGAATTATTACGTAAAATAATGGTAGCTAAAATGCGGCGCAACGTTCCGTAGGATGGGCAGTCTAATATTCATAGAGAGTCTAAGCGGCTGGATGAATGGCTGTTCCACATTGCGATGTACCGTTCATGAGTTTCTCGACGGATCGGTCTCGCTTTATCGCCGCGGTAAAAATTCAGTTTTCAGACGAAATCCGACTTTTCCGCCGAACGCGAGAAGAGTGGCTCCTTTCCCGTTCGGAAAGCAACAGCAACGTGCGAGATGCGAGACTTTCGTGCTGAATATCGTAATGAAAACGCGAATCTCTCCGAATGGAACACTCCGAGCGAATAATTCATTTCGAAATTTGACATTCTGTTGAAAGAAAGGGTTCATCCGTTCAAATTCGTACGCGCAAGAGAGAATGTGTAGCGAGCGATCTTGGAAGGGTGAAACTCGGCAAGGTAGCGACTTGCTTTGACGACGCCAGCGATCTTCTTTACCCGCAGTGCCAACACCCTGGTGGAGTTATCGCAATCGCAATGTCCAGCATGCGATAAGGAAGTTTACACGCGCGCGCGCGCGCGTGTAATTTTACCGTGCACGAATAATATTAATAATTTATATCTCGATTTGTAATCTTCCGTAATCACGCGAGCGTGATGAATCTTCAATAAGTCAGCGTTTCATGTAACGAGGAGGGATAGTCTTGATTCGAGGAGTGTCTTTTTTTATTGTAAAGACGTAGTGGCAAAAGTTATTTTCGATTGTATATTTGACTGGGGACATCAACTCTCTCAGATGCGCTATAATTCGATCGATTCGGAATCAGCTTTCTCAACAGACAGAGTCCAGCCTCCAAACTTTATAACATATGTTCTTAGAGAGGCAGTCTACTTCAGGGACGCAACGATTTCTCAAAATATCGATAACGATATTATCGTCATTCAGAAGCATCGATAACGATAATATCGACAATTTTGAAAAATATCGATATCTATTATAAAGAAATGTGTACATATAGGGGTGTGCGCGAAAAATTTGAAAAGATCTTTTACAAATTTTTATCTTCATATAATTTATTGTCGTATTCTTATTAGAAAATCAGTAAAATTCATACCGATATGTTCGACTTTATCGGAGACAAAAAATATCGATAAATATCCGATATTTGTCTCTCGATATATCGGTATTTCGATATTATCGTTGCTGTTGCCGCCGCAACAGTTTGCACTCGCATGTGCGTTTGTGCGAAGAGAAAGCGAAAACACGCTCGCCAGCGGCGAACAATAGGTGTGACAATTTTCTTCCCTGTCCTGACACCTGACAAAACCAAGTCTACCTATGCAGATGCACAAACATTTACAAATATGCCTATAGAAGACCACGAGTAAGCCATCATTCCTCACTCTCGCTCGTCGCTTATGCAGATGCACAAAAATTTACAGATCTACCTGAAAGATCGCGCGAAAGCCATAATTTCTTACTCTCGCTCTCATCGCTTGGGCGATTTTCATTCGGAAATATACTATACAGTACTGTCATCGTAGCACAAATAGCGCAAATTGGCTACATCTTGACGCAGCGCAGGGTCTTGGACGGTATTCGCGCGCTAAACTGCAACGAGTACCCGCGGGACTGCTCGTTGCCGTCCGCGTGATCCTCCGCGCGAACCGCCGCTTCCGTGTCCTCGAGATCGATGATGAAGTCGCGGTTTCCCATCAGCGTCGCCAGGCACATGTTCCCCTCCTTGATCCTGGAGCGCACCAGCAGCTCCAACGTAAAGAGATGCTCGTCGTGCGCCTCCGGCAGGTAACGGTGCATGAACTCCGCCAATCTGTCACCAGTCACATGCGACGCGTATCGTTTTATTACGTGATCAACGCAATCGATAACATTAGCCTATCTCGAATGAGCCCATCTAATATTAAACGCGAGCGTGCCTTCGACGGCGTACGGTTGAGATGACATTTCCCATCTCGCGCGCGCGCGCGCGCGCGCATCAGAGGATGATCGATCGAGCCCGTGACCTCTGGGAGTTATCGAATTTCCGTATCAGAGCGTCGATTCTCGAAAAATGCGCCGTGCTGGGATAAATAAGCAAATTTGCCTCGGCGATGTGTACAGTCGAATCGTCCCCGAGACAGAGGCGCGACGAACGAGAGAAAGAGACGTGGCCGGAGGTGCGAAGGTGCGACGAAACGTCAAGTAGCGTATCGCATCGAGTGGAGCGGAGTGATGAAAACTTGCTGAACGTAATGAATGGATCGGCGCGGCGCGGGCGGTACAATTTCTTTCCGAGATACGCGTCAACTTCTCGCTTCGCGGAGAGCGAGCTCGCTCTCCACGGAGCGGAGGGCAGCTCCACGTGACGTCTCGTCGTCCAAGTGACTTCCTTCCTTCGAGGGAAGCGGCGATATTAGTGTTTCGGCTGCCTTACCGTAACAGATACTCGACATTGTGCCCGCTCGCGCCGGAACACTCGGTGATTTGACGCGCTATGGTCTGCAGCGACGCCTCGCCGAGCCAGAGCTCGTTCTCGCTGGTGGCGATGTAAATCACGACGGGGAACTGCTTGGCCCCGTCCCGGCTGTGGAAGGTCACTATGGTCGTCAGGTATCCTCCGAGAGCGCACTCCCGGTTCTCCAGGTAGGCCAGCGCCGCGCTCTCTTGAATTTGAAACGCCCGCCCGTGAACCGTGCTCTGTCACCGACAAAAGTAAAATCGACTGTGTATCTTTTCGTAATCTGTGCTGTCGTCGAGCGTCATCTCCCTTTCTCCCTCCATCACGTCAGCGTGATAATTACCTCTTTGTCCTCGATCAGTGTGGCGACTCGACCGGGCTGCAACACACAAGGAGAATAGAACAGAGTGGTAACGCTCGAGGATTTATCGAACGTTCGACGATACGAAGAGAAAAATTCAGGGATTCAAACGCAGGATGAAAACAAATGAGTGAAAGGTAAGATTCCGAAAGGGCGAATGTCCAATTAGTGGACAGAAATGACGTCATCGTGAAAATAAGTCGATGAATGAGTATAATAAGAGGTTGAGCTAAAGTACGCAAAATTGATTCTGCTCTCGAAAGGACTTTGGACTCTTGGAGTTTTAATCGCGCTATATGTATTTTGTTCGTCCACACGGACAGCTCCGATGGGACTGTCCACAATCTTTTTTCTCAACGATGAAGATCTCGCATAGAAAATTGCTCCTCACAGAGTGAGAAAATAATTTGCAAGGTTCACCGTTGCACCGTCGCGCCGTGAAATCCCGCACAACGGGCGAAGAATAACGCGCGACACGGAGCTAAACTCTCTTTGCAGCTATCAGTTACTACCGGTTTACTAACTGGTTACAATTGTACATAACTTATACAGAAGCGTTTTACTGCGATGATTTCGTTTGCGGGAAGAAACAAAAGGAGAGACGCGATTTTTGAGCGCGCCGCGTTCGTACGAGGCGTTCTGTTCAAATGTTCGACAGCCGGCAGCCGGCAGAAGTCAATCGAGACAATCTGCGTCCGAGTGAAAGCGATGATTTATGCGCTTTATAGATCCATTGTGGAGCTCCTCGTCTAGGAGCTATTAATTCAGCCGTTTGCTGCGATCGCGTCAGAAGTGACCGATTCACGAGGGAAACAAGTCCACTTTATCGCGTCGATGCGAAAGCGACTGCTAGCAACGCGACGCCACGCGTGCGATGTGTCTTTTAAAATTCACGCCCTCTGACGTAAAGTAATTAATTCCACATGTGCGTCATACGCACACAGGGAACAATATCATTCTGCCGCTAAGGAAGGCGATTGTTCGGTCTACATTTTTTTTCTCTCGAGTAATGGTTATCTTCGAGAAGGAATATCTTCGTGTTAAAACGATAGTGTTAAAACATGTTCTCATCACAGATTTTAGAAAATTTTGGAAAATTCTGGAAAAACTCGTTATCACGGGAGTGTCATAAAATTCATACGCATAGAACACAAAGCGAATTTTTATCGCTTTGCGATGAACTTACGAGATACTCGAGGCAGTTAACGGCTGCTCAGCGAATTGAATAACGCGAGAGAGCGCAAAGTGAAGTACGAAAGAAATGTCGCAACAAAGTTCGAAAAAGAAATCGAAGATTGAAAGTTGTCCCGATTCTGCGTTCAATTAATATACCCATTTAATATATCGATGATCTCTCTATTCCGAGAGATCTGATCTGATTTTTTATTACGAGCGGTACGATCGTTCGCGTCTCGATCTGTCAAGATCGCCGGTGAATGTCGCGGAATTTGGCGCGTCAACGAGGAATAAACTTGCGAGATCTTGCACGTGATTCGGCTTACCTTCTCGACTGTACCGCGATGCGTTGCGTTACCCTGCCAGAAACGTCTTTTGAAGCCTTTCACGTAGCCGGTGATGCTTTTGTTGTACGAAAAACCGGGATGCCAACAAAGCGATCCGTAACCGAACACCCAGAGCGCGCTGTCACCGGCCATTTTTGCGCTTCCGCGAGAAGTAAATCAGCGTCAAAATCAAAAGAGCGAGTAGTCGCGACGTTCCTTGACAAGTTTCTTCTCTCCTCTCCCTGCTCTCTACGACGTTTTACTTATCTACTTAATCTACCTATTTATTTCCTTCGTCTTATTTATCTTCTTCTTCCCCCCTTCTCTTTTCTTCCGTTTTGCTGTAGCTTCCCTTTTATTGTAGCTCAAAACGATAACTCCGTTGGAAGATTATGTTGAGCCGTAATTTCTTTTACGACAGTATCGAAATTTTACTCAACTTTCACGTGAACTCATCGCGGAGAATTTTTATCTTCGTGCGATGGGTCATTGTTTGTATATTATTGTTCACGAGGTCTCACTCTCGCCGATGGCCGCGTTAATTCGCGACCCGATCAGCGCTGCGTTTCCTTTGAATCCTTCGCGGTGAACTCGGGACGGTGACTCCAATCTGCCAATTCGCGAGGCGATGTGACTGACGGGCCCTGTAGCGCTGCATGTGTGGCCATCTCTTATTCTTTTTCCTCCTCCTCTTCTTCTTCTCCTTCTTCTTCTTCTTTCACTTCTTCAACCGTGCTGCTTTTTTCGTTCTTTCTGGGAAAATCGCGAAGTCTATTCGCTCGGGGAAATTTCGGTCTTGAATGAATGAATCACTCGTTCCAGTAACGTCAGCTCTGAAGAAATTGGTCTCTTGGAATTTCTCCGGGAGCTTTTATCGAATGGATCGAGCGATGTTTTCGTGATCTTGCAGGTCTCCGGAAAAGACGCACGTACTCCATGCCAAGATTCAACGTGTACTGCCGGCTTCCGACTGACGCGCGCTTTCGTTCAGTGAACTAGACCACCGGACACGCGTCCAAGACGGAGTGAGTGAGAAAGAGAACGGAGGAGACCAGGGCAGACGGAGAAAAATGGCAGAATACACTTGGCGCGCGCGCGCGGTGGGGATGTATGATGAAACGTGTCGCTTGATTGACGCATTCGCCGATTGCACGAGATATCGCGCGCGTTTGTGAGAACAGATCGAGTTTAATTCGCCGAATCTTCAGTACGCAATGCTTTCCGCACTTCTGAACACAACTTGTGACGAAAACAATGTGTTTGGCACGTGGAAAAGAGGCAGAATTCAATTTTATTCGAGCTCGACGAAGTTTGTCGAGTTGTACCGCATGAATTAATAAAATAAAACAGACATAAAATAGAACTAATAAAATAGACACGAGTGACATGTACATACACGAGTTGATAGCATGAACTTTTCTGCTGAATTTAAATGCGCTGCAGATTCCTTGCCGCAGTGGTGCGATTTTGTAACTCGTTATTGGAGTTAACGACACTTTCGTTATCGTTGCGCAGCTTTTGTATAGCGTAGAAAACTGTCGTTAACTCCAATAACGAGTTAAAAAATCGCACCACAGGATTGTATAACGTTAAAGTAGAAATGCCCGTTTGGGTTGAAACGCTTACGAAAAAATCAATATAGAACACAGGACAGCTTGGGGAGTTTGTTTTTTTAAGATGCATCTATTAAATTTTTGCTACAAGTAACTTTACGATGTCAGAACTGCAGGTGAGATTGAATATTCGATTGGTAACTGACATTTTCATTTAATTCGATACGTTTGGTGAACAACGATAACAATATTACAATCTTAACATGCCCGAGAACTAGAGATTTTTAACTGCTAAATGCTCTTCGAGCTATCTCGTTTTTTTTTTGCTGAAGTTACAACCCGTTAAATTTTGCATATTGTAGCGGGTGCTCTTGTATTAATTTTCTGAGTTCTTAGTTAAAACTCGAACCATTTTATCCGGTACTCAAATCAATAAGATGAGATGGGTTCGACACGTCACCGCTAGATGACGCCACATAAGTCATTTTACCCAAATTCCGAGAAACATTCTATATCATGAGAGCAAATAAAATTCAACTTATATAGCTGATAACAATGCAATTGTAATTATAATTGTCTCTAATATATAATTATAAATATAATTACCGAAGTATAGTCCCTAAAATTTTTATTTGATCACATTTATTTTTCTGATAAGAAAATATTCTTACAAAACTGTTACCTGAGAGAAACCTGAGAGCGCGGCCAACACGGCATTTTCCGCGACACCGACTTTCCGCACTGGGAAAGGACACCATCTGCATCCATTGAGAGGAAAACTACGATGATACATCCACTTTCAAGTATCGGTGGTAAAATCTGCATGTGGTGGAAGTCCATGCTACATCTACTTTCAGGAGGTTTATATCCGTGCAGCAACCACAGTTGCCATCTCTATGCCAAACTATGCCTGGAAGTCTAAAAAGAGCGGTGGGGGGGGGGAAGGTGGGGGGAGGAGCAGGAAAAATAAAAGTACGTAATAAATATTAAATCTTCGAATACATGTTGCCGTATCAAAGTCTCCTGTATAATAAACGATTTGACACGTCTGGAGACGCATGATGTATCGTTGCCCGCGTCCCGTTCCCTTCGTCCTGCTTCTCAATTTAGCACCTCGTCCGCTCCGGATATTCGCTCGTGGCACTGACAGTGGCCGTCGGTGAGCATTCGATCCGCTCGGAGGAACACGTGTTAATTAACGCAACGAGACTTCGATTATAAATATCCCGTGAGTCGACGAAATATCTGAACTTTTAAAAAAAGCATCAAAGAAAATCACGTTGATGTTGTCATGGGTGAAATCTCACCTGGTATATATTTTTTTATTTTCGAAACGAAAAAAGTCAAACGAATGCAATTAAATGTTATTTATCATCATTGAATATTAGATGAAAAGTAGAAGAGTTATTGTCCGTAGCGGATAATTTAACATTTAATAAGAACGAGACAAAATTCGCATGGGATGAAATTCCACTCTTTAACGCTACCATGACCTTTAATTATTCTCCGAAAACAGCGTCACAACAACTTTGACACTCTGTACAATTGGTTGCTAACACATTTTCTAATCGTACACATTCCTCTTTAATTAACATAAAGCTAACAAATATCCGATGCTTCGATAGAATAATTTTCTTTATTTTCAGTAATCAATAAATAATAAATCAATGTCGCAGTTGAAAGGCCTCCTCGCATTCCCCTCGTCCCCCCTCGTCGTCGAACCTTCGAGAAAAGAAAATACGCCCAAGGGTAAGTCTCTCTTGCTTCAACCGCCGCCGAGCCTCGCAATGTTTACATCGCGCCGATTGTGTTGATCGGCTCGCGCGAGCGACGACACTTTTTGCCCTTCGTATTATAATACTCGCGCACTTCGTGTATTCGACCTCATTCCATCAACAGCAGCCGTGCGCGACGCGCTCGTCACTTCCGTCTCGAAAGAAATGTATCTCGTCGGTCCTCGAGATACTCAATCGACATCGCGTTGATTAACCCTTACGATCGAATCACGAGTATCGGCGTTAGAAGCGTGAGTGAGTGAAATCCGGAGGACTCCAGCAGCCGGAAAGCAGGACGCCGCCGGCAGCGATCACGTCACGTTTCCAGGTATGTGGAATCATTTATTATGCGGGATATCTCCGATAACGAGATCGGACGTTTGACAGATTTCCTGGGAATAAGAAGTCGGAATTTCGCACTCGCGGCATTCACGATCCGTCATCATCCGACTAGTAATCATAGACACTTTATGAATCTGCAATTACTCTCGTCAATCTCTGTCTGTCTATCTATTTATTGCATTGTTGTATACAAAAGATATTGATCCAGACAGAGATAGATAACGGTCCATGAACGCGGATCTCTAATTCGTCATCAGTTCTCAATCAAACATTCTGAATAATTCCCAACTGTATGAGTATACCGGTCTTGTGCAGAATATTCAACCAGCGTCATACCGCTACTTAGACTGCGACCTTTTTTGTTTTCGGTCAGCGCTTCTTTCGAGTCTGTTTACTCCCGTTACGGGATCTAAATTTAAATGTTCATTCGTAAAAGAGTATTTTCGAGAGCACACAACTGTTGTCTCCGCTTCTTGTTGTCATGTTTTTTCGTCAGCTCTTTCAAAAGCTCCTATCTAGACTTTCAATGACAATGAAGAAAAAAAATCGTAACGAATATTCTACACTTATCCCGATCAAAGATTCTTTCTCTACCGCAGCTTACCAACCAAGAACGCTACATTTTTGTTCCAGACGTTGCGGGAAGCAAGTCCAGCGGACGCGGATGCCGCACCGGAGGATCCGGTTCGGGCAGAGCAGGGTCAGCCGGAAGGTAAAGTTTACAAGTTTCCTACACATTTGTGTCCAACTCTTTACAATCTTTGCCTTTGCAACTTGTTCCTCATCAGCTCTCTCGAAAGTTTCATGTCTCATTTAAATTTTCAATGTTGGAACAAAAATATAAAGATAAAAATACTATATCAAAATATTTCCGTATTTTCGATTCGTCTCGATCAAAGATATTCTCACTCTACCACAGATTATCAACTAGGAAAACTACTTTTCTGTTTCAGTTGTTGCGGAAAGCAGCAACAATCCGGCAGATGCGGATGCCGCACCGGAGGATCCGGTTCGGGCCAAGCAGAGTCGGTCGGAAGGTAAAATTTACAAGTTTCCTACACATCTATATTCAACCCTTTACGATCTTTGCCTTTGCAACTTGTTCCTCATCAGCTCTCTTGAAAACTTCAAGTCCCATTTAAATTCTCAATGTTGGAACCAAAATATAAAGATAAAAATTCCTTATCAAAATATTTCCGTATTTTCGATTCGTCCCGATCAAAGATATTCTCTCTCTACCGCAGGTTATCAACCGGGAAAATTATTTTTCTGTTTCAGTTGTTGCGGAAAGCAACAGCAATCCGACGGATGCGGATGCCGCATCGGAGGATCCGATTCGGGCCAAGCAGAGCCGGCTTGAAGGTAAGTTTACAAGTTTACTACAGTTCTCTGTTTGACCCTTGGCGATCTAACTGGGATCTTATTTTCGGCTCGACTTGAATTACGATCGCAGAGGGTAAACTACTCGCCCGCACTTGTTTGTCAAATCTAATGAGCGAATGTGAATTTTTTGTTACAGAGTTGAAGCGGAACGTGGCCGGCTCTGACTGCAAGTCGTTTCGGTGAGTCAAAGTGAAAAGAGAAACAATATTCTGCATGACGGATGTGGGATTAAAAAAATATCGTTCGCGTCAATGCAAATTGCAAATAGATTCTTGCATGTGTGTGTTTGTGATGTTTAATAAAATACAATGCTCGAAACAATTAGGGGATTATTTGATCGATAGCCTGCATTATATACGAGATTTAAGATACCGAATGATTTTCTTTTGATATTCATTTGAATAAGAGATATTCGTGTCTACAAACGCGATACCGTCATCAGTTGCTTTATTTTCATTTTTCAAGCGGGCAGCTGAATTATTTAACGGCAATTATTTGACAATATTTAATTGTCCGCGTAAAATATATTCATACGCATAAATGCCGATACCGTTGGCTACTTTTCTTTTATTCCCTTAAAACAGGCTGTAAAATTATTTGGCAATATTCAATACGATCCCTATTGTCTCGAGTAGCGTATAATGCGCCAGAAATTGCGCAGAATTGCGCCAGCGCACGCCGAGCTTGAGGTATCCTCGCTCGCGTGCCTTTGAATATCGCGACCGCGATTATCAATTTACGCGTTTTTTACCCGCGCTCCTAACAAAGAAAGCTTAAATTCTCATTTCGCCAAAGTATCGCGAACATAAGCTTCGTCGTGACGGAACTATAATGCCTGAAAACTTTGCTTCGCTCTCTCTCTCTC